GAGGCGCAGGAGCGGAAAATTGACGCACGCAGGAGAAACATTGCTGAACTTTTTCCTCGGGTCGCACATGCAGCGACCAATCAGAGGGCCGCAAAGTGATCACGGGGACATCAGCAGTTTAGCGAGCAGACTGAAAATACTCGTAAAAACAACAGCCAAAACAGGACCTAAACCAGGACTAAACCAGGATTGACAATGGAGGACACAGTGCTTGTGAACAACTGTGCGGCATGTGTCGCCATGGTGATCTCCCAAAGTCGCTAGCTTAGCGGAAAGCGGACATCTGAAAAGTCACCACCACATGGAGTATAAAACCTTTGCTGTTGAAATGAGGAATAAAACATTTAAAGTTTCAGTTGTATGAATTCCCACGGATAACACAATGCTGTACTTGTATCGATGCATCCCTAATAATTACGGATTTCAATTAATATTGATTACATAGTATGTTTTTACAGCAACGTGAACTACAGTGTAAAATGTAAAGCAGAGAGGTGCCTGTGGTCACATGGGAGAAAGGCCTGTTACTCTGTTACACAAGCACGTAAGGTTTGTCTTTGTGCTTTTCCCAGGGCGGTGTCTGCTAGAGGCTATTCAGCCATGAAAAAAAAACAATTATGACATAATTTCATTTGTTTTTTCTGCTTCTGGTTATTTATGCTCAACTCCATCAAGTCCTACCGAAAGAAATATGCCCTGTCATGGTTTATGTCAAATATAGTCAATAGAAGACTAAAATTATTATTATTATAATATATTATTAAAATATATTATTATTATACATTATTATTTACAGCTATGCATGCACTTTGGTTGAACAAGGTAAATATAGAAGTGGCATAATGCTCTTGCAGCTCACAGAACTGATTTTCTAAAGCCTGGTTCACACGGCAGGATATTTAGGCCGATTTAGACCCGATTTACCCCTTACGACAATCTTAAGAAACGCTCCGATTTTCGTAACAAAGTCTTACAGATTATCCTGCCGTGTGTGGTGTGTTAAGACTGTGGTCGTCGCTCGGAAGGACATCGGGGATATCCAACATGTTGGATTGTTTTGGCCCGATTTCTCTTCGTGTGTGGTGTCCCCCGAGGACAGACGTGCGCGTTGCCATGACTGCGGCGTGTAGCCAATCAGAAGACGAGACGAGGCGGTGAGGAAACGCCTCCATATCACGATGTAGCAAGTATAGTCCATGCTCGTGTCGTCTACACTTCTTTGACCATTGCCTTTTCTTTTCATTACGCCTTTTCTCCGATAAAAACAAACTATCGCCAATGCATCCTCTTCGTCCGCCATGTGTGTTTACTCTGAAGTCACGCTTGATCTCGCGAGACCTGAGATTTCCGTCCGATCTGTGAATACTCGGGGGGGGGGGGGGGGGGTGTGATTTTTGCCGTGTGGCTGCGCACCACAAACTGTACGACCAAAGTGGTTAGACCCGTGATTTTTTATCTTCCTGTGTGGGGTCTCACACAGAGAAAAATTGGCCGACAATTTTAAAATCGTCTCGTGTGAACCAGGCTTAAGCAGCAGTGCTGCTGTCTGACTCAGGAGGATCTTCATTAATCAAATGTCACAATGGAAACACTTTGTTCCATTAAACCACGGTGGGAAGTTTCTGACAGCATCTGCTGTCATGAAGCCCCACTGCTAAGTCACAGACAGGACAGTCCAAGAACACTTTTTAAGTCACTATGTGAAGAGTTTCAATTAGAGGTCGACCAATATGTTTTTTTTTCAGGGATAATACCGATAATTAGTCAAGGATAACTGATATATAGAGTGGGTATTCATTTGCGGCAAATACGAAAGTTAATGTCAACATTTGAAATAATACAAACTTTAGGCGTAACTTAAAATGGACCTAATCTTATTTTGTTGGTATACTGTGGTCTTTTTAGTGTTAAATAAAACTCATTTTGACAGATAGTTTCACCCTTAGCAGTTTCTATCAATGATTATCTTTATGCAAAAAGAAATTTGCTGGAAAATTGCCGAGACCGGAAGTGACGTACACGTAGGGGTCTTTGGGCTTTGTTGATATGCATTTGTGCCATAATGTTGTATACAGACGTTTTAAACAGATATTTGTTATTCAGTGATGGACAATACAAGAACCCTATTTATGAGCCCTTGCGTACTTGTTATGACAATAATTCTGATTTTGAGGACTCGGTTCAGATGGTGAGCAATCTTCAAGAAATTAACATTTGCGAACATTAGGGCCGTTTCCACGGGCTGGACTCATGGATCTATGGTCCGACTGGGTCCGACACGTCTCGGCCCGGTTTGCGGATGTGGTCAGTTTGAGCTAGATGGTGCCGCCCGAGTGAGTGTAAATAAGTGTTAGCAAAGGTAGCACTAGGGACGAAGGAATGGATATCAAGGACATCGTAGTGCAGAGAAAAGTTAGCGTTTAGTTAGCGTAAAAGTGACTACCGTGAAATGAAAGATCCCAGCCGTAAAAGTGAACAGAACCAAAAAGTCTGGAGGTGGTTTGACAAAATGGATTATTTTTACGGACACCAGCTACCACGTCAATACCCGCAACACCGCGAGAGAAGCCTCAACTCTAGGTCCCATCTCCAGATGTTGAGTTTGAGGGAATGGTGAGTGTGATGGTGATTTTATGTAGTGCAGTAAAATGTTACTCTTAAAAACCCCCAATCACACCCTCCCTAGAACTGCCATTGAGAAATAATGGAAAAAAATAAGACAAGTTGATTAAAAGCGTGCCTATAGTGTCAAAGACCTTTGTAAAGACGATGGATAAATGAGTCAGCAGCGATCAGTAAACCCAATTCTGTGTTCAGCACTGTGTAAGCAGTCAGCACCACGGATAGCTCCAGTCGGCCAGAATTTTTTAACTCACAATCAGCAACTGTGACTGTAACTGTGATCTCAAAATACTGGCATATTCTACTGCAGCTGCATGGGTCACATGCTGATCTACTTTGATCTTCTACCAATCCTTTAAAGTCATGCAAGATAGAAACAACTAAATGTAATCAATGACTTCAGGACACATGATCTTCGAATGTCTTTTTGAGGGCCATGTCGAGGTGTCATTGGCATGTTGTTAACCAGTGGCAAACCGCAGCCTCAACAACATTATAAGCAATATATTGATGTGAAAATGCTCTGGAGGCTCACTACAGTCTGCCAAGAAGGCCAGTATTTGGCTGCAGATCAAGTGGGATTGAAGTTACACGTTCTCCTGTGAAAAGACAAACATGCACTAAGCCCTTCAGAGGACAACGCAGCAGTATATCTTTTATACAGCACTGAGGACCTTGGTACAAAAATGACAACAAATTCAACATTCTACATATTTGTATCTTATAAACTGTGATGGAGTATTTCATCACAGTTTATAAGATACAAATATGTAGAATGTGATGGAGTATTTCATGTCAAAAACATATAATGTATAATATGGATCAACATGTTACTTCATGTTAATTTTTTAAATAATTACTTAACCAACAACTATATGTCTTTAGAGCCTGCTACAATACATTGGGGATTGAATGATTGACCCCAAAGAATATTTTAATTCTACCTTGGGAGAGACCACAAAATCCCAGTTTAAAAGTCAATATTATCTACTCCCCCAACTTTAACTCAGCTATTTTTCAAACTGTGATTAACAGTAAGCTCTCCATTCCATCCATCTCTCTCCATTGACTAAACATGGTGGTGGATAATAAATATTGACCAATGCACCTTGACTCAACAGCGCCACCTTTAAGTGGTTCTCTTTGGGATACCAGACATGCAGACTTTGGAGTAAATGTGATTTGCAGTGAGACTAGTCCATAACTGTTTCATGATAAACAGGAAGCCATTTTTCAAGGAAGAGTTGAGAACATTTGTTTGCTTGAGAACTTTAACTCTTTGACTGCCATTGACGTATTTATCGTCTTTTCGACTGGCGATTACAGGTAAACAAAACTAGCTAGAAACAAACTTATTTTTGCTGCTGAAAGTAGACAGTCCAATCTTTCAGAATCTGGTTTCATATTTCACATAGTCATAGCACATAATATTCTGTGGGTCTTTAAAATTAGTGAATTCATCAAAAACGGCTGGCAGTCAATGAGATAAGCAAGATTACTTCAATATCACAACAAAAACACCTTGGTTCTATACATCTGTAATCATTTTTACAGCCATGCAATGCAGCATAAGTACAATTGGGGATTAAACTAATTATTGATACCTAAATTACACAACCAGTACAAAATTGGACAGTATATGAGCAATTTAAGATAAGATAAGATGATTGAATAGTCAACTAATAATAATTTGTACGAACTAAGATGTTATTGACCAAGCAACAAAAGGTTGTTCATCGAAGTCTATCTAAAAGTATTGAAATATAGTTTTAAACGTTGGTGTTGTGATACCACTATCCACTAGTGAATTAAACGTGCCCCCATTGCAAAACAGCATGAGAAACAGTGACGAGTGTGATTTTCGTAAGAGACATAAGACAGGTTGTGAGTCTAGAACATTGGGGGCGGTTTTATTTAAGAGCAGGTCTGTCAGCAGTGGACGCAGATGGCAATGAGTAATACTGCTATAGTGAAGCCACTGCTGCACTCTGTGTGTGCATACAAGCATGAATGAGTTGCATAAGTAGCATCTCCAGGCATACATCAGCCTTAAGCCTTGTGCAGCGTGTTTCTAAATCTCCTGTCCCGAGATCCTGACTCCAAAAGAAATTACCCAAGCAGCAAATATGTCTTCCATCATTAAAAATAGATGTATTACGCCAAGTGGAAGATTAAAGGGAAGCAATTAAAGGGAACCCCATTGTTACATGGTCATACACTGTGATGAGTAAGTAAACAGAATGTGAAAATGTAAGTTGACTCACCACAGCTGAACAGTCACCCTGCCCACGCCAATGCTGAGCTAATTTTCTAAAGGGAAAGATGGTTATAATATAATTTTGCATGTCTGTTCTTTTTACGTCAACATTACTTTTGCAATGGTAGTCTGTGAATTCTATGACGAGAGGTGGAGATGGAAGTGGGAGACAGGAAGAGAAGAGGTGAGGCTGTGTCAGGAAAGATCAACTTCTACACAATCTCATTCACAAACGTTCAACTTCCTCGCCCACTGATCTTCAAACTAGCAAAGAGGTACTACACACTGTAAGCAAGTATCACAGGGTAAAACACGCAACACCACTGAAAACTAAGATAAGATATACTTTTATTCGTCTCGCAGTGGAGAAATATCATATTTCATAATATATCATTGACAATATAATTGAAATAAAATATACTCTGGGGCTATAATTGCACTTGTTTCAGAAGTATTTACAGATGTGTATATTGTACTTTAGCAGTGGAGATTATGAGAATATGAATATGAGCAGAATAAGCATCAGCAATAATATCAACAGGTAAAGTGACTAGTGAGAAAGTTACAATTACAGGGAATTTACACATTAGGCATTAACAGCGCGTAAGCGTTGACTGCACGCAGATGCGTGTACAGTAACATTATTTGGCTCTATATAGACTGGCCGTGCGCAGGTCCTTCTGACGCTGTCCCTGTGTAGTCTGTGGAGCAGTGTAGAGGACAGTACCGAGACTGATGTAGAGCAACACAAATCACATGCATGTGTTTGTCTTCATGGTCTCTGTGCTGGTTTGGCCAGACGCCAGACTTTATGAAAAAAAAAAACGATGTTCAGATTCATTATAAAACCTGCTGCTCCTCCTGCTGATGTTTAAACACAAATGCTGTGTGTGTGTGCGCGTGCGCGTGCGCGTGTGCGTGTGCGTGTGCGTGTGCGCGTGCGTGTGTAGATGCGATCTAGAGCCAAGGACTGCAAGAAAAATCATATTTCACATGTGTTTTGACTGGGAGACGCGTTGTTGTGCGCACAAAATTAGAAATCCATCCTAAATTAGGCGTAGCCTCGCGCCATACGTCCGTCATACGCGCGTACAACACTAGTATAGTGTAAATATCACCATTGATTAACATGGAAAAATATTAGCGCATCTGCTGCGCATACAACGCGTATGTGCTGTAACGCCTCCTGTGTAAATTAGCAGTTAGAATGAATCTAATGTCAAGTCTGAAGCCAACAGAACACAGTGAATGAAACATTTTCAACAAGTCAGCTGCAGTTTTAGAGGAGATTTGTCCAAGGTGGCCTGTATCAGCCAAAAGTGCTTCGTTACCTATCAGGACTAAAAGACCCGATAATCGATCAGTCAAATCAAAAGGAGGCAAGACAAAAGCTTTCACACTATAACAAACAATATAACACTACTGATCCCGTGCATGTGACGTCCTGGCTACGCCCTTTCTCCATGACCGACGGCGGAAGTCTAACTGCGAGCCATCAGAAACTTTACCAAAACAACCTGTTTCACCGAATAACAGCCAAAACTGTGATATTTGGGGGTGTGGTTGGTTGTACTAACAGGCAAGGACATAAGTCAAATGTGTTTTTTTATCTGATTCCTGCTCGTGATGAAGACAGAAGACGACGATGACCAGCGGCAATCAACCAAAAGGACTGTGAGCCATCCAAGGACTCCCACATTTTCAGTGAACACTTTTGACAAGATAAATCAATCACACATTTGTATTTATTCTCTTTCCATTAAGTTATTTAGAGGACAATGACACAACAAACACTTGAAGTCAAACGTGTCTTTTACTACTGTCCTGTATGTGCGCTGCAAGATTGAAATTTCCTCACTGTGGCACAAATAAAAGATCTCTTATCTTAGACGTCAGTTCAGTTTTTCACCAATTTCCTCTCCGTCAATTTGTATCATACTGTAGACAGAAAAGCCACCAAAAAGCGGACTAATGCTAATGCACTAATGCTACCAGCAAAATGTTCATTAAAATCTGTTGGGATGCATTGTTAACGACTTAATGATAAAGATCATGTGGAGTGAATTTGGGCAAAATTGGACCTTTCATCTAATCGATAAAATTGAAACTTCTCGACTTCGGGAAGGTGTCTCAGTTTTTAAGATATGTGTCCGTTTTGCTCTCACCACAATGCTAGTTTCCACTACTTCCGTCGTAAGCCCACGCACAATCACGTGACTGGATGACGTCGATGCATCTGGTCAGTAAATAATGTGCATGACATGCAGATGTACGGTATTTATTGTCATGGTTACGGATGTAAGTTTGTGGTTTTTGACAGACTGCTTCTGCTGCAATGGACAAGGAGATATTCATTCTGTCATTGTGCTGGCACAAGGCCAGTCTGTACAGTTCTGGGTTAGTCCACCTTTACCTATAGCTACTGCTTTACAACATTAATTACACTTAAAATTAATTCTCAACTATGCCATTGACGAATGCTGCTAATTCCATTACACGAATATATCGTTGGGTTGCAGCTGACCTCACGCAATGGCGCAAAAGTCCTCCGAGGGACAGGAAGTAAATCTCTCCATTAAAAATCATTAAATTTTAACTGATTTATGGTCAACCTTTTCTGTGGCATGTACAGATTTGGCCTTCTGCTCGTATCAAGTGGAGAAATAATGGCCAAGGTCGACTTTCTTTATATAGCACATAAAAAAAACAGACATGACCGCCACAAAAAGCATTCCAAAAAATACAAAATACAACACAACACACAAATAAATTCTATGAATTCTCAAAGCGACAAGAAGCCAATTAAGAGGCGACAGCACAGGAGTGATGTGCTCGTGGCTGTGGACAACCTTCTCGAGATCATTTGGTGGCAGATATCGCTTAACTTTGGTTAAAACTCTCAACCCGGAAGAAGCTGGATTTGACAACAGCGCAGGCAATAGGCAGAAAGAATTGTGAAGTAAATGTCAGGGCTGTCAAACAATTAAAATTTTTAATCGAGTTAATTACAGCTACAAAATTAATCAATCGTAATTAATTGCATTTTGAACTATCGGCAAAATTATGACCTTTTTCTGTAAATGGTTGTTTGAATGGAAAGATAAATGATATAAACATAGTGTACATACTGTATTTGTTTATTATAACAATAAATCCACATAAAACGGCAATAACATTCTGTCTTTCAGTAGCAGAGAGTAATTTTTCTAACTTGTATCAAAAGTTGTATTAAAACCTGTAATGAGTTAACTCATTGAATGCCAGCCTATTTCAGAACAGGTACTCCCACAGTGCCAGCCATTTATGATGATTTTTACTTATTTTTCAAGACCCACAGAATATTGTGTACTATGACTATCTGAAATCCGAATGGACTGTCTACTTTCCTCAGCAAAAAGAATTTTGTTTATAGCTTTTTTCGTTCCCCTGTAATCCTCCGTTGAGTAGAGGGAAGTTTTACTGAAATGACCAGAAAGTTTAGAAAAAAGAGAAACAACATGTGCACCTAACTGTTTTCAAACCATTCAGAGAGAAATGCTGCCACCTGCTGGCTCGATAAAATATGGTCTCAAGTCATCCCCATACATATTAGATACAATAGACGTCTGGGAACGTGAAAATAGCGAAAAAGGCATTTGACGTATCAATGCGTCAATGGCACACGACGTTACTATTTGCTTTGACGTATTTGTGCGTCAATGGGACACAATGAGTTTTTAATTGAAAAATTGAACCCATTGGATCAGCTGTGTGTGAATTCAGAACATAAAAAGTGCTGAGTAGAAACTTTGCGTGGCGCTCGTTCTCCTAGGCCACCCCTCCTCTAGGCCACGCCTCCTCTAGGCCACGCCTCCTCTAGCGTCTGCGGCGCATGTAAACAACAGCAGCATGGCAGGAGAAGGCTATACCTGCTCTGGCTGTAACTGCAGACACCGCAGTAAAACAGCCCAAACAACACAAAAGTGAGGAGGAGAAGAGGGAACTAAAGAGAAAAAGTGATCAAAGAAGAAATCAAGCCCGGGTGAATAGCTAACTTACATTGTATCCTGCCGATGCGGGACTGGCTCGGACTAACTTTGGACGTGAAACTAGCGGTAATCTTTCAGTTATTGTACTGTATATTTTATTAGCAGTGCGTTGCTTTGGTATCATCTCATCAGTGATTTCTGTACAGCTTATAGGAAGTTGTGCTAATGCTAACTAATGCCTACTGCTCTGTCGCCATCTCACATGCATTCTGAGTGTTATTATGGGATGTATGGGCGGGTCATTTGGTACATGCAACAAATGCGTTAATATTTTCAATGTGATTCATGAAAAAAATTAATTAACGTTTGTTAAAGCGATAATTTAGACCGGGTATCGGGTTGATATCCATCCATCCATCTTCTACCCTTTAATCCATTTCTGGGTCAGGGGGGTGGCAGTCAGAGATACCACCCAAGTCTCATAGCACCAGCCCCGGGGTTGATATCATAAGCTTTTATTCATACTTCATACCATAGAACCCAATTCCCATATTTTCTATATAAATTAGCATCACACCCAGTGTTGTGCCAGTTCACAGTTTTTCTGAACTAGTCCAAGTTCAGTTCATACAGGCTCAAGCTATATATATATATATATATATATATATATATATATATATATATATATATATACATATATACATGTATATGTATATATATATGGGTTTCAATGGGAACAAAACTGAGTTGTCCCATCTCTGTCTGTACTTTATGTCAAATGTAAACGGTTGGCCCTGTGTCGCTAACGCACCCTTTGTTTTCATCACGGCACATGTGAGTCCAACAACCCATAAAACGCACTAGCATACAGCGCCGCATCGCAACACGGAGTCACAGACGGTGGAAACCGTGGGAAAAAAGTGCGTAGAAAACTGGAGGGAGGAACTTTCTCTCATTGCGTTTCAAAAGAGAAAACAGATGTCACTCAGTTTTCAATGGAAAACAAATTCCAACGTTCATTTACAGTGATGTCTGCCGTTCATGACACATAATGTGAACTAAGTCACGTTCAAGTTCTTTATTAAAAAATGTGTTGCGTTCAGTTCAACGTTCACACAAAAATGAGCATGTTCAATGAACGCGTTCTTTTGAACTTGTTCACGCACAACACTGATCACACCAGCAGACAGCCGTGCGGCACGAGTTGCCATGGTGATCTCCAAAAGTAAGCAGTGGTAAGGCTAGCTACCAGCAAGCAGGCTAGCAAGCTAGCGGCAAGCGGACAAGAAATCGACCGTATGGCAGATTTTAAAAGTAAACGAGTGACAAGAGTAAAGCAAACTGTGTGTTGTGTAAAACTGTCACAAGGTGGGTCTAAAACAAACACATATAACACCAGCAAATGGATCAAACATCTGAAAACTCACCGCCACGCGGCATGCCACGTGCACCGCCACACAGCATGCCACGTGCACCGCCACACAGCATGCCACGTGCACCACCACACAGCATGCCACGTGCACCACCACACAGCATGCCACGTGCACCACCACACGGCATGCCACGTGCACCGCCACACGGCATGCCACGTGCACCGCCACACAGCATGCCACGTGCACCGCCACACAGCATGCCACGTGTACCGCCACACAGCATGCCACGTGCACCGCCACACAGCATGCCACGTGCACCGCCACACAGCATGCCACGTGCACCGCCACACAGCATGCCACGTGTACCGCCACACAGCATGCCACGTGCACCGCCACACAGCATGCCATGTGCACCGCCACACGGTATGCCACGTGCACCACCACACAGCATGCCACGTGCACCACCACACGGCATGCCACGTGCACCACCACACGGCATGCCACGTGCACCGCCACACGGCATGCCACGTGCACCGCCACACAGCATGCCACGTGCACCGCCACACAGCATGCCACGTGTACCGCCACACAGCATGCCACGTGCACCGCCACACGGCATGCCACGTGCACCGCCACACGGCACGTTTGCTAGCACCGGAGCTTTTTCTTTTTACCATTTGTATGAGTGGAAAATGACAGTGGCTCTTATTGTTGACTGTTAAAACAACTGCTAAATTGTTTAATTGTTAAAGCATTTTCTTATTGATGTCATGACAAATAAAAGATTTGATATTTCAGTTGAATTAGTTTAATGAATTCCCAGAGATAACACAGTGTAGTACAAAAGTAACAGGAAGTAAATCTTCAAAGAGCCCTTTTTCTGTGGTGTGTGCAGTTGTTGCAACTGCTCGTATCAAGTGTAGAACTTGTGTTTCTAATTTGCATTCTCTAACAGGTGTCGACTTTTAGGAAAGTACCTATAAAAGAATGGGCTAAATGCGTTAGCCTGCGTTAGCCTGCGTAGCATCTGCCACAAACGCAGCTGACAGTCCGCAGTCTTCGCTTCACTGACTTTCATCGATACAATGCAGTATTCGTGCTGTGTGGTGAACTACTGTAGTAACCGAGGCATTGATCAGAACTGTCATCTTGGACGTGGCTTCTGTTGATCCTTATTCAAACTATACAAGGTGTACACCATGTTGCAAATTGTTTTCCCGTTGAAATAGGAGTGATACCAAGCCGCAAAACGCTCCTATGTGTATGTTTTTCCCCCATCGCCCTGATAGGAGAAATAAACTTCCTGACCTACGGCTACGTGGTCCGAAAGGGACATGCAGTAACATGTATGTCCCCTAAGATACATGCAGTTGACCCCAGTGAGATTTAACTCTGAAGCTCCAATAGTGGATGACAAGTAAAACAATTGCTTCGTGACCCAATTGCAACGGAACATTGTAAAAAAAAAAATACAACCAACACCTGTGAAGTTTGGATTTTAAAAAAAACCACAATGTCATAAAACGCTCATGATCTCCCGACATTCTCCCCTTCAGGCCTCCATTTGTTTTATGAGCAGACTAGACTTTTTCATGGCTTTTTGTTTAGTCATAATAGCCCCAACACAGTGCTCTGTCCCCTGCATTTGTTTTCACTCTCAAACAAACTCTGATCCTGTTTCTGTAATGATCAATGCCCAACAAAAATCTGCGAGTCTCACAGATAGTCTTTTTTACTCCTTCGCTTGTTCACAGATTTTTGAATAACAAACAAGCTGACATTGACATCTTAATTTCTTTTATAGTTGCTTTATGATAATGTGTCTGTGTTAAAGCTGGGGTACCCTACTTTCTTCCATAAATATTCCAATATATTTGTTGCAACAGAAAGTCTTGACCACAACATGTTGTCTTCATATTATTTGAAAACACACTGTCATTTTCAGCCATGGGCCTGTGTTAGTGTAATATATTTAATGCTTTGGGCTGAGAACGGCCATCTCTTCTAAGACTAAGAGATCCTTTATTCGTCCCACAGTAGGGATATTTATTTATTTATTCTGTGGGTTCAAACTTTAATGGTACTACTAGGGGAACTACTGGGTTCGAATCCCGGTCAGACCAGGGCCTTTCTGAGTGGAGTTTGCATGTTCTCCCCGTGTCTGCGTAGGTTTCCTCCGGGTACTTCGGTTTCCCCTACCACTAAAAATATGTACAGGTCTGGCATGCGCCTCCTGTTCGGTGGCCCCGCTCCCATCTCTGTGTGGAGTGAGAGGACAAGTGCCCAAAAATAACAATTGTAAACTGCTTTGTAGAGCTGCAACTAACGATTATTTTGTAATCGATTAATCTATCGATTATTTTTACGATTAATCGATTAATCGCTTGGCTGTGAATTGTGTAGAAAAAAAATATTTTTTCATCACAAAAAGCTAAAGTGGCAACACTCGAGGACGTGTTGATGGCGTAAACTTAAAGTAAATGTTTGTAACAGGCTCTTTGTGCTAATTCTGCTCTGATTGGATGAGACAGACAGATATTCATGAAATTATAAAAACAAAGTCGGTTTTAATCAAAAATACTACATTTTCATGTCATTTTTGCTCTGTTTGAGTCCGTGTGAACCAGAAAACGATTAATCGATTACTAAAATAGTTGTCGACTATTTCAATAATCGATTAGTCGTCGATTAATCGATTAGTTGTTTCAGCCCTACTGCTTTGTGACTCTGGTCTGTGAAAGGCGGTATATAAATAAAGATTGTACATTCTGATATTGTTGTATATTATTTGGATTGATATGTGACATGTGAGGTCAGTTCAGCATGTGCTCATTAGTCTTCATTGTCCATTCTACAATCTGACAACAGCAGAAAAGAAATAACTGCGGAACCTTACACAGCAAGGGTGGACTTTTACTGAAGCTGCTCTCCAGAGCAGACAGTGTCCTGCTGGGAGTGACAGTTCAGCACAGATGTCAGGTGTAGATGTCAGTTTGTCCAGGACCCTCCTGCCCCATTTTTTGTGGTTTGAAAGTCAGGTACCACAGGGTTGTTTCTGCAAATCCTCGTCTTACCCTCTTGCACAGAGCTGCACATGAGTATATAAGATAAGATAAGCCACACGCATGAGTAAAAGTCAGTGTTGCAATGTGCTGTATTCAAGCAGGAATATGGGAAGAACTCAAAACAAGATAAATAGCTGCAAATACAGAAATAAACATGGGCCTCTCCTACAGATCCTACAGTTCCTTAGGGCACATCAGGCTCGAACTCTGCACATCTATTACATGCATTCACTGGAGACATGTACGCTGTAAGACCATATCGCCTAAGTCAACAGTCACATCGATGACAGAACACGTTTGATGTGCAGAGAAGCCATCGTTCCTGTGAGACCCCAACACTGAAAATATGGGAGAGGGGTTTTGCGTGCTGCTAATAAGCAAGTCCTAAGAAACTGGTTTGGGATTACTTGTGCTTGGGCGGACTGTCACATTATGCTCACTTGGAATAGACTTCACACACAGCCTGAAGAAAATCCATACAACCCTCAGTCACGCGCACTAAAAGCATCGCTGTGAGGGGTTGCTCTGCTGCATGACCCGGATCTCCTGTGAAAAAAACACCGCAAGAGGAGTGCTCAATAATTCAAATCTGACCCCATTGCACAGTTGCTTAAATGTACAGTGGGAGGAAGTGCGATGGGGGTATCCCGGGTGGATTAACAAATTCAGCCTAAAATGTAAATGTACTAAAATGATCATGCAAAAGATTATATTAATACAAAATGATTTAACATTGTTGTTGCGTCATATGCTTATAAATAACAATGGGAAGGACAGCATTATGATTATAATTGACATTTGTATGAATATATATCATGCAAGCGCCTGGCCGCGTCTCATCCAATCCCTTTTGAAACCAAATCAAGGGACAGGAGTTGCAAAATAACTAAAACAATAATGCAGTTAATCACAACTAAATAATTTAATCGTTAATTGTATTTGGTCAAAACACTTTCATGAAAATAAAAAGTCAAGGAGGCAAACAATAATTTATAAAACTTTCCACAAAGACGGAATTCCTGATCTTGTCTCTGTTTTACCAAATGTTTACTGTTATTGTTAAAGAATGAAAAGATGGCACCGATTAAAAATAAGAAGTATATTATATTCATTCAGGAGCTAAACTGTGGGTGCAAAGTAAAGTAGTGTGAGCAATTTCAGTGGTTTGATTCTTTCTCTACATGTGCATAGATACATCTGCTTTGACGTTCACATATTTTGTACACACACAAACATGTGATAAATATACCCTAACCCTAACCCTAACCCATAGACCTCTGTCTTACACCCAACAACAAGTCTTTGTTGTGGGTTTTGGCTGAGATTAACATGTTCACAACAAAATACAAACAATACTGAAGAAATTGCTTTCAAGTCAAATCAAACATTAAAATCTAAATAGTCTAAATAGTTCCTCTCACAGTACCAAGCCCCGGCGATCCAAGATGGCGCCCTATTCAAATGAATGATTGTGCTCAGTGGCGCTTTGTGACGGCATGGGGGCTGGAAGATTAGTGGAAGTCGCCTGGAACTCTCAAAGATCTATGGGAAACTCTCAAAGATCTATGGGAAACTCTCAAAGATCTATGGGAAACTCTCAAAGATCTTTGGGAAACTCTTCTGTATTTGGGCATCGTCTGGTCCTCCCGGTTCTGTGCAGTGGATGATCTCCCATAATGCTTTGCCCCAAACACACGTGTGTGGGTCTCACACCGGGTCTCACGCACGTGCACAGAGGGGCTCGGCCGCGCTCTGACCAATCAGAGCAGTTCATCAGAGCGGGAGTTAGAGCGAGAGCCAGAAAAGCAGAGTTTGTGGCACTAAAGTGTGGATTTAAACAAAACCGAAGGATTTAAGAAGAAAAAAAGGGACACTAAAATCCCCACAAAATCCGACCTTTATGAAAGCTGTAGGTTCTCTGTCAGGTTCTCTGTCAGCTGAGGTTGAGCTGTTTTAATATGTATTGAGTTCTATGGGGAACATTTCTGGGTAGCCCACGTGAATTTAGTCTGGTTCAGTCTGGTTCAGTCTGCAGTACCGCGAGAATCCCCAGAGCACATGAGTTCTTCAGCTACAAGCTAGTAATACCCTATCCAGTTATTATAATAGATCCATGCACAGTACTCTTTCCTAAAACAGATTTTAAAAAATTCTAATAAGATAAATAGAGCATGGTGTTATCTGATTTGACCCTTTGGAGTACAATCAAACCGCTGTCTTCCATTTGTTAGGCCTGAGCAGTTTCCAACGTGCCACAGATGGGGAGCGCTCTTATGCAACGCTGCTCTGTACATGTATGACTGTGAAGAGTCAGAGGTCTCTGGTGAGCAGAACTCAGTAGCGCAGTGAAAGAGGTGACAGTTACATGAGCACAGGTCCTGTCATGTCATGGAGCTTTGAACAGGGCAGGCCAGTCTGACATTGTGCCACGTTCTCTTTCCATCTGGTTTACCCTTACTCCTTTGGTCCACTGAAGCTGCATGTCCTGTGTTTATTCCCCAAACAATCCCAAATACAAAAACACTAGTGCAGGGAGAGACGGTAACAAACAGACAGTTCCATGGAGAAGAAAGGGTTCAACGCAGGT